ACTAATGTTTTGCAGAGGAAACTGGCTTGTCCGCGTGGCGACGGAGGTAGGGCCGTGGGTTTTATTTATTTTTTAACATCTTTATTGGAGTATAATTGCTTTACAATGCTGTGTTAGTTTCTGCTGTATAACAAAGTGAATCAGCTATACGTATACATATATCCCCATATCCCCTCCCTCTTGTGTCTCCCTCCCACCCTCCGTATCCCACCCCTCTAGGTGGTCACAAAGCACCAAGCTGGTCTCCCTGTGCTATGCGGCTGCTTCCCACTAGCTATCTAGTTTACATTTGGTAGTGTATATATGTCCATGCCACTCTCTTGCTTTGTCACAGCTTACCCTTCCCCCTCCCTGTGTCCTCAAGTGCATTCTCTACATCTGCGTCTTTATACCTGTCCTGCCCCTAGGCTCTTCAGAACCTTTTTTTTTTTAAGATTCCAAATATATGTGTTAGCATATGGTATTTTTTTTTACTCTTTCTGACTTACTTCACTCTGTACGACAGTCTCTAGGTCCATCAACCTCACTACAAATAACTCAATTTCATTTCTTTTTATGGCTAATATTCCATTGTATACATGTGCCACATCTTCTTTATCCATTCATCTGTCGATGCACACTTAGGTTGCTTCCATGTCCTGGCTATTGTAAATAGTGCTGCAATGGACATTGTGGTACATGACTTTTTTTTTTTTTTAACATCTTTATTGGAATATAATTGCTTTACAATGGTGTGTTAGTTTCTGCTTTATAACAAAGTGAATCAGTTATACATATACATATGTTCCCATATCTCTTCCCTCTTGCGTCTCCCTCCCACCCTCCGTATCCCACCCCTCTAGGTGGTCACAAAGCACCAAGCTGGTCTCCCTGTGCTATGCAGCTGCTTCCCACTAGCTATCTAGTTTACATTTGATAGTGTATATATGTCCATGCCACTCTCTCACTTCGTCCCAGCTTACCCTTCCCCCTCTCCATGTCCTCATGTCCATTCTCTACATCTGCATCTTTATACCTTTCCTGCCCCTAGGATCTTCAGAACCTTTTTTTTTTTTAGGTTCCATATATATGTGTTAGCATACAGTATTTGTTTTTCTCTTTCTGACTTACTTCACTCTGTATGACAGTCTCTAGGTCCATCCACCTCACTATAAATAACTCAATTTTGTTTCTTTTTATGACTGAGTAATATTCCATTGTATGTATGTGCCACATCTTCTTTATCCATTCCTCTGTTGATGGACACTTAGGTTGCCTCCATGTCCTGGCTATTGTAAATAGTGCTTCAGTGAACATTGTGGTACATGACCGTTTTTGAATTATGGTATTCTCGGGTATATGCCCAGTAGTGGGATTGCTGGGTCGTATGGTAGTTCTATTTTTAGTTTTTTAAGGAACCACCATACTGTTCTCCATAGTGGCTGTATCAATTTACATTCCCACCAACAGTGCAAAAAGGTTCCCTTTTCTCCACACCCTCTCCAGCATCTATTGTTTGTAGATTTTTTGATGCTGGCCATTCTGACCAGTGTGAGTTGATACCTCACTGTAGATTTGATTTGCATTTCTCTAATGATTAGTGATGTTGAGCATCCTTTCGTGTGTTTGTTGGCAATCTGTATATCTGCTTTGGAGAAATGTCTATTTAGGTCATCTGCCCATTTTTGCATTGGGTTGTTTGTTTTTTGGAAATTGAGCTGCATAAGCTGCTTGTAAATTTGGGGGATTAATCCTTTGTCAGTTGCTTCATTTGCAAATATTTTCTCCCATTCTGAGAGTTGTCTTTTCGTCTTGTTTGTGTTTTCCTTTGCTGTGCAAAAGCTTTTAAGTTTCATTAGGTCCCATTTGTTTATTTTTGTTTTTATTTCCATTTATCTAGGAGGTGGGTCAAAAAGGATCTTGCTGTGATTTATGTCATAGAGTGTTCTGCCTACATTTTCAGTTTATTGGTTTATTTTTGTTTTGAGGTGCAGGTCCTGTCCCTATTCTTTTGTCTCTGTTTTTTCTTTTGCCCTACCCAGGTATGTGGGGAGTTTCTTGCCTTTTGGGAGGTCTGAGGTCTTCTGCCAGCATTCAGTAGGTGTTCTGTAGGAGTTGTTCCACATGTAGTTGTATTTCTGATGTATTTGTGGGGAGGACGGTGATCTCCACTTCTTACTCCTCCGCCATCTTGAAGGTCTCATCAGGCCATGTATTTTAATTCCTTGTCCTGTGTTCTTTCCACCACAAAACACCCACTATCTTCAAAAGATATAAAATCAACAAGTTGGTAAATAGGGGCACATCTCCACCTGCCTTACTTCTCTCACAAACAGAAATCGATGCAGCCAACTTTTGGGACCCAGTAACGCCAGTGCCAGGAGCCCTGTTCTTACCTCTGTGTGATCCTCTGAAAGTCTGTGTCTAAGTGAAGAATTAAATCATTATCCAGCCAATGCAAAAGGGAAGAAAAGTGTTGTCCAGAAAGAATGTCTATTTCCAGTAACTAAATGCTTGGAACATACAGAGTATGATGTTTTACAAAGCCTTCCCATTTGAATCTTTTATTTCTTAAGCAACAAAATTATATGTTGGCAATTCAACCAAAATGATGAGCTCACCTGTGACTTGTCCTCGGTTTGGTTTGAGGATGTGAATGGAATTAGCACAATGTTTTAGTTGAGAAAGAGACTCGCCATATGTTAGAGGTGAAAGGAACCTTGGTAATGATGTAATCCAAATTCCAAGGGGGTTGACGGATATCACCCAGGTAATTGTTTGGAATTTCCACTTCATTTGCAATATGCAAACATAAGTCTATTTGCTGGAGCCCAAAGAGCCAGCTCTGGAGGCTGGTTATTAGGGGTGACAGGATTAAAAACCTAACTTGTGCATGGTTATAATAAATGAAGCAGTACGTAAATGCCATAAGGGTTTGCTGTACCAAAGTAAATATCCATGTTTAGAGGTGTATCCTGTAGCTTAGAGCAAAATTTCACATATGTTCTATTTATTGTGTTAAAAAAAAAAAAAAACTCCACCATAAAACAATAACCTTGCATTTGGCTTATTGCATCAAACATCATCCTTGGTATATATTGAGTAATTTGTCTAAGGTGCTGTCTTTCTTGGAGAATTCCAAGTTTCACAAGATGTTTAAAATAAACCATTCCTTTACATTGATAGCAAATGGGTTTTGACAGATTGAACATGAGACAGAAAATAATGCACTGCAATACCTTATAGTTTAACATGAATGTGGGGTTGCTAAGGGCTTGAGTGTTTGGATTTTTTTTCTTTAGTAGTTCCTTTTCTTCAAGAATGTCCTTCAAATCATGCTGTGCACATGCTAAATTTTCAGGTGTTAAAAGTAGCCATATTCATTAAGTTGCCATCAACCAGACCACAGACTAAATTAGAACTATACAATGTTCATTATTTCCCAAAATTACATACGAAAGTAAAATGACCTACAATCTAGGTCAGATTGTGGAGTCATGGAAAAACTGAAGGTCCACCTTGGATCTTCCACTTTGTTCTTTGTCTAAAAGGTTGGAAGGTAGTAGAATGGTTTCATTTGTATTTCTACTTTTCTCTTGCTCTTGGAGGTGATAATCCTAAATAAAATGCATCCAAAACAGGCAGGTGAACAGGTAAGAAGATATGGAAAATCTAGAATATGGATTATCAGCACAAGAATGCTGGCAGCAATCCCAGTACTTAAAATGCCCAAAGGTATATCAGGAACAGTGTGACCTTCTAGAAAATACAGAGGAACCTAGTTCCTTATGGTAAGAACATAAGAGTAAATGGAATCTGACCAATGCTTCCTAGGAATATTTAAGTGACAGAATATTGTAAATGTCCCCCTTCCATTGGCCCCTGAGGGTAAAGCTTTGAGGTGAGCATTCCCAACTTCTCCTTAATAAACCCTCTGAATCCATTATCCATGGGTTTATCTAAACCTTCTTGAGGGGATTTCTAACTTTAGCCTTCAAAGTCTCTGGAGTAGATGAAGAGAACCTTTATTCTACTGTCATTCATTGATCCACATTTTTAAAGAAACTCCTGAAGTATACTCAGGTAAAAAGTACTTAGTTTTGTTTAAGAAAAAATTATAAAACACTAGTAATTCAGTACTGTTCTTTAAGTTACGAAAACTTAAATCTTTACTTCGTTTCTGCAGTGCATTCTGGAACAAACTATGCTTTTCACTCTAAAGTGATTTAAGAGGAAAGATGGGAGCTGGAAGAAACAGGAAGAAAAAACAATGAAAGGTATAAATGAGGCATAAGAGGAGAAAAGAGCAAGGGTAAGGAGAATAACCCAGAAGTAGAGAAACTTAGAAGGATAAAGAGGAGAGAAGTTCAGAAGTCCTGATTCAGTTATAGATAATTTTTTCACAGTCTCATGTTTTCTGAGATGTGTGGCCTCAAGATATTTAACCATTGTCTACTGAATGCTGAATTTCTAAATTAAACAGTGTCAGGATATTTTTCTCAGAGCTACAAATAATAACTGAGACCAGTGATACCTCTTGAGGTCATTGGCAAAGGTCAGATGAAACCAAGCCAGACCTAATCTAGGTAAGAGAGGCTTCCTGCTTCACCAAGAATCATGTGTTCCAGATGCACAATCTGTACTAAGCAGAGAAGTGCTTTATTCTGTTGCCCTCAAACCTTCATCTTCATGCTTTGCCTTATCAATCTAGAACACTGGGTTACAGTGAGGAAATCCCTGCTTAAGCTGTCTATACCCTGCATGGTTTTTACAGATTTCCCACATACCTGTTCTTGGTCTTCGTCCTTCCAGACTGAAGTCCTGTTCATTTCGGCCTCTAACACTATGAGTAATTTTCATTTATTTAGTGATGTCTGTGTGCCGGGTAATCTTCACAACAGCCATGAAATAACTACGATTGTTGTCTTCATTCGACAGATCTGTAAACCGAGACATAGAGAGGTTAAGTAACTTGCCCAAAGTCACACAGTAAAGCGATAAAGCCAAGCTCAGAGGTCAGAATGACTGACTCCAAAATTCAGTCACTGATCCTCTTTTTACTTCTTATTGAGCGCTTCCTCTCTCCTTCCACATCTGATATGGTGCGGCCCTTCCTCTGCCCCACGGGGATCCCTGAACCGAGATCACCATGGACAATCTTCAAGTTCTTTGTTCTGAAACCTTTCTCAACTGAATGAAGTTAGCTCATAACCCTCCTCTCCCACCAGAGGCTGGCCAGAAGGCCACATAGCCCAGGATGGAGGCTCCCTCACTTCAGTGCTCACCACACAAATCGCACTTGTTCTATGGAAACATTGTTGTACTGAGGCCATATTATCTCTCCACGCATAGGTCTGCATTTGCGTTTTTAGCTGTAGAATAAAACTTCTGGCCACCATGAATTTTTTCTAGCTAATATAACATGTATGGCAGTTCATGTAAGGAAACATAAACTGGGTGGTTAAGAGAGAAAAATTACAAATAACTCAGAGAGGAGAGATGACTATTCCCCGAAAACTCTTCCTAAGGTGCCAAAGAACAAGGGGCAAGGGGGGGGGGGGGGGGGATGGATTTTTTTCAAGTGGCTTAGACCCTAGAATTAAAAAGAATATTACAGGGCTTCCCTGGTGGCGCAGCGGTTGAGAATCTGCCTGCTAATGCAGGGGACACGGGTTCGAGCCCTGGTCTGGGAGGATCCCACATGCCACGGAGCAACTAGGCCCGTGAGCCACAACTACTGAGCCTGCGCATCTGGAGCCTGTGCTCCACAACAAGAGAGGCCGCGATAGTGAGAGGCCCGCGCACCGCGATGAAGAGTGGCCCCCACTTGCCACAGCTAGAGGAAGCCCTCGCACAGAAACGAAGACCCAACACAGCAAAAATAAACAAAATTAATTAATATATATTTAAAAAAAAAAAAGAATATTACATTAGGCTTCTTTCTATTATTGTTAATTTTTACTGAGAGTAGAGTTGCTTTACAATGTTGTGTTATCGTCTTGCTGTACAGCAAAGTGAATCAGCTGTACATATATGTATATCCTCTCTTTCTTGGATTTCCTTCCCATTTAAGTTACCACAGAACATTGAGCAGAGTTCCCTGTGCTGTACAGAACGTTCTCATTAGTTATCTATTTTATACACGTTAGGCTTCTGAGTGAAATGAACTCATAAAAAGTGAACATATTTGTATTAGTTGGAGAATTTGGGGTTGTAAAGTTACCTTCTTGGAATACCTTTGCGCAAGACATATCATTTAAAGAATGGTGAACCCATATGTCTCCGAGCTGCCTAAGCAACTAAGAGGCCTTGCTGACCTGACTTTCTTTTCTTTTCCAGATCTTGGCTATCGTGTCCATCTTGTTCATCGTACTCTCCACCATTGCGCTGTCTCTCAACACGCTACCAGAGCTGCAGGAGATGGATGAATTTGGACAGCCCAATGACAACCCCCAGTTAGCCCATGTGGAGGCCGTGTGTATCGCCTGGTTTACCATGGAGTACCTTTTACGGTTCCTATCCTCACCAAATAAATGGAAGTTCTTTAAGGGCCCACTGAACGTTATCGACTTGCTGGCCATCTTGCCATATTACGTCACCATTTTCCTCACGGAGTCCAACAAGAGCGTGCTGCAGTTCCAGAACGTGAGGCGCGTGGTCCAGATCTTCCGAATCATGCGTATCCTCAGGATCCTGAAACTCGCCAGACACTCGACGGGCCTGCAGTCCCTGGGTTTCACCCTCAGGCGGAGTTACAATGAACTGGGCTTGTTGATACTGTTCTTGGCCATGGGGATAATGATATTCTCCAGCCTGGTATTTTTTGCCGAGAAGGACGAAGATGCTACCAAGTTCACCAGCATCCCGGCCTCATTTTGGTGGGCCACCATCACCATGACCACTGTCGGCTACGGTGACATCTACCCAAAAACATTATTAGGGAAGATCGTGGGAGGCCTCTGCTGTATTGCGGGTGTTCTGGTGATTGCCCTTCCCATCCCAATCATTGTGAACAACTTTTCTGAGTTCTACAAGGAGCAGAAACGCCAGGAGAAGGCCATTAAAAGGAGAGAGGCTCTCGAGCGGGCCAAGAGGAATGGAAGCATCGTTTCTATGAACTTAAAAGATGCCTTTGCTCGCAGTATGGAACTGATAGACGTGGCTGTGGAGAAGACGGGAGAGTCGGCCAATACAAAAGACTCCACGGGGGAAAACCGCCTCTCTCCAAGCCGGTGGAAGTGGGCCCGGAAGGCTCTGTCGGAAACAAGCTCCAACAAGTCTTACGAGAATAAGTACCAGGAGGTCAGCCAAAAAGACTCCCACGAGCAGCTGAACAACACTTCTTCCTCCAGCCCACAGCATCTGAGTGCCCAGAAACTGGAGATGCTGTACAACGAGATCACCAAGACGCAGCCTCACTCCCACCCGAATCCCGAGCGCCAGCAGCAGCCCGAGAGGCCGTCTGCGTACGAAGAAGAGATAGAGATGGAGGAGGTGATCTGCCCGCAGGAGCAGCTGGCCGTGGCGCAGGCCGAGGGCATCGTGGACATGAAGAGCACCTCCAGCATCGACAGCTTCACGAGCTGCGCCACCGACTTCACAGAGACCGAGAGGTCGCCCCTGCCGCCACCCTCCGCTTGCCACCTGCAGATGAAGTTCCCACCCGACCTCGCCCGGATAGAAGAGCACCAAAGAGCCAGGGCCCCCCCATTCCTCACCCTGACCCGAGAGAAGATGCCCGCGGCCAGGGACGCCAGCCCGGAATACGCTCCAATCGACGTAACTGTGAACCTCGACTCCAGCGGGTCCCAGGGTGGGCCCCACGGCCCCTCGCAGTCGGACAGTGCCGCCGAGAGCCCGAGGAGCTCGCTGAAAGGCAGCAACCCACTCAAGTCCGGATCGCTCAAGGTGAACTTCAAGGACAACAGAGGCGGGGCCCCGCAGACCCCACCCAGCACGGCCAGGCCACTGCCGGTCACCGCGGCGGACTTCCCACTCACCGCCCCGCAGCTCATCAGCACCATCCTCTTAGAAGAAACCCCCTCCCAGGGAGACAGACCCTTGCTGGGCGCCGAGGTTCCGGCACATTGTCAGGGACCCTCCAAAGGGCTGACGCCTCGGTTTCCCAAGCAGAAACTCTTTCCTTTCTCATCCAGAGAGAGGAGGAGCTTCACGGAAATAGACACGGGCGAAGACGATGATTTCTTAGAGCTCCAAGGGACCACGAGGCAGGACAAGCAGGCAGACTCCAGCCCGAACTGCTTTGCAGATAAGCCTAGTGACGGAAGAGACCCTTTGCGAGAAGAGGCCTCTGTGGGCGCTTCCTCTCCACAGGACACAAGTCACAACTGTAGGCAAGGCATTTACCATGCTGTGGTGGAAGTAAAAAAGGACAACAGTCAAGAAGGGTGCAAGATGGAAAACCACTTGTTTGCCCCAGAAATTCATTCCAACCCAGGAGACACAGGTTACTGTCCCACACGTGAAACCAGCATGTGACTAGTTACAAAGGCAATAATAAAAACAAAAACAAACAAACAAAAAACTTGTTTCTTAAAAATGCGGTTAATAATGCCTGTGAACTAAAAAGTGGGAAGCCCCTCCCCCCAAAAAAGTGCATAAAATGTTATTTTTGCATGGCATGGACAGTTTAGTTTAAGTACTGTTTAAATAAAGCATCAAGACTGCATTTTGTAACAAACAAACAAAAATGACTGAAGAACAGTGAACAAATAAAGAGAGCTCTATTACGAACCCGGTATTCTGCAATGTCTGACATTTTTGATCCTTTCATTTCAAATTGTAGACAGAGTTTAGACTTTGAGATTTTTCCGTTACAATGAATTTTAGAATTTGCACATGAAAGGATGAAATGTCATTGCATGAGTTCGTAATTGCCAGGCAAGGTGCTTTGAGCTTGCAAAATGGGTAACTTTGTAAATAACGGGGCTTGGGATGCCAAAGTGTCAAGAACAGATGGAAAGAAGTTCTGAGACACAGGCACCTCCTTCACAGCTACTGCCTGGAGGAGCTGTACAGACTTCTTGTTGCAAAATTGCAACCTTTTCTTAAAGCATCCCACATATCTTGCTTTGGGTTATAAAGCTCTTATAAGTACATCTGTTTAAAGGAATACAGTATTTTTATTGACTTGTGATATAATTCATAGGGTGCATTTTTCTTTTTTGCTTCTGCTTAGTTGTGGCATTTGTGGGTTTATTTATAAATCATGGAAATAGGCAAGATGTAATGACCAGATATCCAAAAACTTGGAATTGCAGTTTGAAATTTTGCCAGTCAATTATATATCACTAATATCATGGGGAAAAGTATGTACCATGCCACAGCCTATTACAGAAATGCATTTTTTAAAAACCTGAACATACTTAAAAGGTGATATTACACAACTAAACTTTTTTTTTAATGTCCCTCCACTTTTGGAAAGCAGTTCTTTAAAAAAAAAAAAAAAGAAAGAAAGAAGGGGACTTCCCTGGTGGCACAGTGATTAAGGATCCATCTGCCAATACGGAGAACATGGGTTCAACCCCTGGTCCCAGAAGATCCCACATGCCGCAGAGCAACTAAGCCCATGCACCACAACTACTGAGCCCGGGCGCCTAGAGCCCGTGCTCCGCAAGAAGAGAAGCCACCGCAACGAGAAGCCCGCGCACCGCAACGAAGAGTAGACCCCGCTTGCCGCAACTAGAGAAAGCCCGCGCACAGCAATGAAGACCCAACGCAGCCAAAAATAAATAAAATTTTTTAAAAATGTATGTTGGCCATCTAAAGACGACTGTATTTTCCACTTGAATCCAACATAACCTTTTCTATCTAAAGATAGAATGTAGACATGCCAAAATGGGAATTCCAAAAAGTGACTTTTGGCAAACTAAAAGCAGCGTTATTTAAGTAAGACTGCCACCCCGCCCACCTGTACCCCATAGATAGAGTTGGGTTTGGAAATGAGTTAATATAAAAAGAACCGTGGCCTAGGACTTCCCTGGCGGTCCAGTGTTTAAGACTCCACGCTTCCACTGCGGGGGGCACAGGGTTCCATCCCTGGTGGGGGAGCTAAGATCCCGCATGCCGCATGGTGCAACCAAAAAAAAAAGAACCCTGGCCTGATAATGGGTCACCCAGTATTTCCCAGTGAGGGGAGAAAACACTGCCACCTGGAGAAGGCCACAAATGCCAGTAGCACCATCCAGTGATTGCAGCATCTAGAAACACCCCATGTTTCCAACGCCCCCAAGAGATGGAGGATTATCCTAGTTGAAAGCAATACTTCCAGCATTTTCGACTGAGAACAGTGAAATCCAGAGGCGTTAGGATATTGCTAGTGACTGTCCTGTTAGTGAAGACTGTGTAAAACCCAGGTCATTTGGATCAACTTTGCTTCACAGGAAATCAAGGCTCTAGCTCGATATGCAACTACCTGATGGGTGATCCTGGATGAGCCTTGAAATCCTCTCTCAGTTTCAGTTTTACCCCAATAAAAATCAAGACAAATTATTTCTAAGGTACCTTAAGACTGCAAATTAATATGATTCCTTGATCTCTCAGGAATGTGCAAGTTTGCCTCCACGTAATGCATTTTGTACGTGTGTGTGGGTGTGGATGTATAGTTCCGAGAAATAGGAAAATTCTGGGCCCAATTTAAAGCACAACTTTTTGTTTAAGGAAAAAAAATTCTAAATTTTATTCTATTTTTAAAAGAAGAAAAAAAAAAAAACACCAGAAAAAGGACAACCCAAATATTTAGGACCTAACTTAAGACTTTAAGGAATAACATGTCTTTATTAACAAAATCTGGTCATTATGTCTCAGATAAGAAAACAAGTTTTGATCTTAGCTGAAATCCAAGCAGCCCTACTGCTAAAAATAATTTTAAACATTTCTTTTTCACTGTGCTTATTAGAATTTCCTGATGGTTTTTGTGTGTTTCAGAACACAACCTTTAAGAGTTTATGGTCATTAATCATTGATATTTACATCACTCATACTTATCTCAGTGTCTAAAACTAAATGTTGCTCAGTTTTCGTAAATCTAGAGTGTCTGAATTTTCTATATATAGTTTTTCAAGTAAACAGATATATCTGCTGTTAGACAAATAGCAAATAAGTCATGAAAATTATTTTCTTTACATAGTCTCATGAAGCAGTTATTTTGTAATGTCTCTGTACTGATGACTCTGAAGTTTTTAAAAGTTCTCTGATAGTTTACTAACGCCGACCTTTCTTATGTCCATTAGGCCTTTCACTGACAGTCCTGCTCCAGAATGCTTAATGTTAGAAATCTTTCCTAGATAAGGAATTCTAGACATTCTCCTCCAAGGCATTCTCCCTAAAAACTTTTCCCCTTTAATATTTTTCTTAAGTTTTAAAGAATTTTTAAGAACCTCCTATGGAAAGTTTAACCTTCGATTCTTCTTAGCCCCTCTGAGCCAAAAGTCTTCAGCTAGTTAAAAATAAAATAAAATCTCCTCTAAAAAAACCTTTGGGGCTTCCCTGGTGGCCCAGTGGTTGAGAGTCCGCCTGCCGATGCAGGGGACACGGGTTCGTGCCCCGGTCTGGGAAGATCCCACATGCCGCGGAGCGGCTGGGCCCGTGAGCCATGGCCGCTGAGCCTGCGCGTCCGGAGCCTGTGCTCCGCAACGGGAGAGGCCACAACAGTGAGAGGCCCGCGTACCGCAAAAAAAAAAAAACTTTTGACTTTGTTGTTTCACAGGGAAGCACCTAGGGTTCCCAAAATGCACTTGTGCAGTGCGTCCTTAACCTTTTCAATGAACTGCACCTAATGCAGAGAATGAACGTATTTGCCCGAACTGGTCTGGGAATAGACCAAGCACAGAGTTCTTGCAAAGTCTTATGTTTTCCATTAAAATTCATGAAAGGGGCTTCCCTGGTGGCGCAGTGGTTGAGAGTCCACCTGCCGATGCAGGGGACACGGGTTCGTGCCCCGGTCCGGGAGGATTCCACGTGCCTCGGAGCGGCTGGGCCCGTGAGCCATGGCCGCTGAGCCTGCGCGTCCGGAGCCTGTGCTCCGCAGCGGGAGAGGCCACAGCAGTGAGAGGCCCGCGTACCGCACACACACAAAAAAAAGTCATGAAAATGCTGCATTTTACTTCATAACATATGTTTCAATATCAAAGAAATCATGTTTTCTCTTACTTACCGACTAGTAAAATGGATACTCTTTTAACTTCAAATACCTCTTTTGTACCCCCTGGAAAACACATCCCCAGTTTGAGAAGCACTGCCTAAGTGGTGGGGACATAGGCTGTTTCCCTGAGGGGCCCTGGAGGTTTCTGCTGCTGGGAGAGCTTGCTCATTGTCACCTGGCTCAGTGACCAGGGACAAATGTCGACAAGCAAAGACTGTTTGAATGAACTCAAAATAACACAGTCCCAGGCACTGTTAATTCAGTTCTGCTGGCTATCCTAACAGGTGTAAATTGCCACAAGATTGTTTTAGCTTAAAGCTTGAGATCCATCGCAAGAGGATAGAAATGGGTGCACGCATATATGTCTTGAGTTGGGTCACAAATACAGGAGTGACACCCTGAATGCCTAGTGTTCACCTAATTAGTCTCTAAACATTTTCACTAGAAATTTCTCCACTCTGGCACAGCCAACAGCTTTGAAGCAAGCATTTAGATCAAGCATTATCCTGATATGAACTAGATTTGGTAAGAAGAAGAATAGTGCCAAGCATCTGTTCCCATTAATTTCTTGTCAAAACAGTCTCACTGTCACGTAGACATGAGGAAAGTCAACAATTCAACTATTTTCTCTTGGAATTTGAATAGAAAAAAAAAAAAAAAGCCTTATGTATGTAGAGTATTTTAAGAGTTTTTGGTCATGCTTAATACTCAGCCTTCTGAATCAGGTATTATTTATCAATAAAAGACCAGCGAGTTAGGAATCTTGTTCAAGTTCACACTGGTCACTGGTGAATAGTAGTAGAACAAGACCTCGTCCACATCCTCTGGCTTCAAGTCCAGCATTCCAATAAACAACAGGAAAATATGTTTAGTTAAGGAGGTTTTTTTCTATTAATATTTAAAATTACGTAAATAAACGCAGAGGTGCATTCATCATCATGCAGTTTTCTTAAAGCAGCAGTGGATCATGCCAAATGGTAATGACTTGAGATAAATGACATTGAGCATCTTTAGCACATATGTTTGCCCATTCGGGATTCTGGTTATAAGGTACACATTCCTGGGTCAAAGAGAAGAATTTATTACTCATGATGTAACATGAATACACATTAGGCAGAGGGCTGAAGGAAGCCACTTGATTTTCTACAAAAAGAAGAACTTCAGAACTATTAAAACTTCAAAGTTCAAAAATACTGTCTAATAGATTTTGATTGGCATTTCACTATTCATTCATTCAGTAAATACTAAGTGAGCGCCCCTGTATTCTACAGAAGGCATCGTGCTTGGTGTTAGCATACAGCCCCCAGCCTCCTGGAGCTTACTGCCTTGCCCATTTAAAACCAGGCTGAGAAAAAAAACTTTTTTTAATAATAAATAAAAATTTTTAAAATAAATAAAACCAGGCTGAGGGTCATTTGGATTACTGGAAAGTGTCTCTTCTGAGTACGAAAGAAG